TGTTAGGAAGTTTACGTAAAGTGGTACGTAGCTCTTCATAGATGTAGGATTTTCGCGGCGGCTCGGAGGCGGCCGGCAGGTGTGCATGTGCGGAAGATGGGTGTGGTAGCCACCCATTTGCGTTGATGGAAAATGGCACGCCACCAAAAAAAATTGTGACTAGTCATTTCTCCACTAGTGCATAAATGCTCGTGTATACGTTGGCTGATTGTGCCTCGGTTTTCTCTAATACGAGATGCAATGGAAAATGTGCGAAATGCAAACTACACAAATTATATTGAAGCAAGTGGTGCTTTAGAACCGGATCAGCATATGTTTTAAGCCAAACTGTATCATGATTTCATTATGGAGGAAGTCATCCAAATTGAATCAATTCTGTTTCAGAAAACAAAACACAATTGAGGGTGATGGATGCTGTTTCATGGGCCAAGAAGATAGCTGCTTCCGACATTTGGCCCAGCCGAACCCTCCGAAGCAGCTCGCCCCCCATTCCTCGCCCCCACTCACTCCACCACGGACCAAACCCTCGCCGCCGTCGCCCCCCTTTTCCCCTCCACCGGCGGCCATGGACCCGATGATCGGCGTCAGCAGGAGCGACATGCTCGCCGGCTTGGAGCGCGACGGCTTGGACCCGGGGACGCTGGACGCCGGCACAAACCTGCTGCTCCACGTCGTGTACGACTACCTCCCGGACCCGCCCGTCTCCCCCACCGCCCCCCTCTCGCTCGCCGGCGCGTCCTGGGTCCCCGACGGCGTCGACCGCATCAGCTGCCTCCCCGATGTGGTCCTCCGCGACATCATCTCCCGCCTCCCCGCCAAGGACGCCGCGCGCACCGCCGCCCTCGCCTCGCGCTGGCGCCCCCTTTGGCGCTCGGTGCCCCTCACTCTCGTCGACAGCCACCTGCTCCCGGACGGCGGCGCGCGCGGGCAGCTCGTCATCGGCGCTCCCTCTCCCCGCGCCGTCACCGCCGCGGTGTCCCGCGTCCTCGCGGCGCACCCGGGCCCCTTCCGCTGCGTCCACCTCACCCGCACCACCATGGAGGAGCACCGGGGCGAGATGTCGCGCTGGCTCGACATCCTCGTCGCCAAGGGGGTCCAGGAACTCATCTTTGTCAACCGGCCTTGGCCGATAGACCTGCGCCTCCCCGCCACGCTCTTCAGCTGCTCCACCCTCACCCGCCTCTACCTCGGCGTCTGGAGGCTGCCGGACACCGCTGCCGTGCCGCGCGGCGCCAGATTCCCCAATCTCAAGGAGCTCGGTCTGTGCTTCTGTGTCATGGAGGACCGTGATCTGGCCTTCATGCTTGAAAGAAGCCCCGTCCTGGAGTTCCTCGTCCTCATGGGAAGCCAGACCGGAGTGCGCCTCCGCCTCGTCAGCCAAAGCCTGCGGTGTCTTCAGCTGGGCTTTACCTGCTTGGAGGACATCGAAGTGGTGGATGCCCCTCGCCTGGAGAGGCTCTTCCAGCGGGACACCGACGTTACTGAGGGCGACACTGCCACGATCAAGATTGGGCGTGCACCTAACCTGCGTGTGCTGGGATATCTTCAGCCAGGAGAGCAAGAGCTGGAGGTCTGCGTGGTACGATCCTAATTAAGTTTGCATGCGTACCTGTGATGCACGATTAGTAATGCCAATCTATGAATGACTTAGTTCCTTGGGTGCATTGCAGGCTGGGAGCAAGGAGAAGATTGCCCTTAGTGTGCAGATATTGGCCATAGAGGTGCGATTCGGTGTTCGTAGTGCTGTCAAGAAAGTGCCAGGCTTTCTCAGATGCTTCCCTAACCTGGAGACGCTCCATGTCCAGGTAAAATTGGTTAACTTAACTAGATACGTATGCTTGCTGCATTGGCAATTTTGCAGTACTAGTTAGTGCCTACATATCTAGCATGGTCAGAACTATGAATGAAGCAGCTTAATTATATGTCCTGAACTATGTATGCGTCGATTTCATCTGCAGTCCCGCATCGATGAAGAGCCCAATGGCAAGGTCAATCTGAAGTTCTGGCAGGAGGGCGGTCCCATGAAATGCGTCGTGCAGAGCATCAAGAAGGTGTTTTTCTACGAGTTCCAGGGGTTGAGAAGCGAGGTTGCTTTCCTCAAGTTCATCGCGGAGAGAGGTCGGGTGCTGGAGCAGATGGTTGTTGTGGTGGCCAGTGAGTGTTTCTCCTCAGGGGACAATGTGAATGCGAAGCTGAAGCCTCTGATCAGTGCAAAATGGAGCAACAAAGCTTGCAAAGTAGAGCTTTTCAAGAGCCCACTCGACAACGTGGGAGGTCCAGCTTACTGCCACGAAATAGCTTCGGATTTTGAGGTTGCTGATCCTTTTGATCTCAACTACTACTATGAAGCAGAAAGGATCTCTCTGTAAGGTAATTAGTAGTACCCTGCCTCTTGCCTCTTGCCTCTTGTGCTGCAAGACTACTGTTACTATTGGGACCTGAATTTCTGCATGATGATGTTGTTTTGCCAAGTCAAGTCTTGTGTGGTAGCAGTTCGAATTAGACAAAATATTGGCACACCAGTTTCTATGTCTGTTCCTTTGAAAGTCTGTTCAGTGAGCCTTCACCTTATTCTGCGCTAAAGGGCAAAGGACTGACGAACGGCTAATATATGTATCCAATCATCATGTTTTCCCAAAATTTATAAAACATGCACCAGTTATTGTAGTCAGTGGCATTGCATAGCAATTGCCAAGGACTCTTTTGTAAATCAATATGCTGCCTTCTGTAAAAATATGGTATGCCACTCTTGAAAAAAAAATCCTGCAGATTTTTTCATGGTTTTTTTAGTTTATTATTTGGAGGAATACCAGGACTTAATGAGTTCTTTTGTCAAAGGAATATTTCAACATTATTCAGTATAGTATATTTTTACACTCATTCGTGTTGGGCTGGGATACTTAATTTTCATTTGTTTTTCCTGTATTTTCTTGTTCCTGATGTCCAAAGAGTAGAGCCACGTAAATGAGAGCTCCTTTTTCTTTTAGTGGTATCACCACATTTTATTAGATAATAGCATAACTTGGGATACAATATCAGGGGGGTCTAACAGCCACAGATGGCGCCCGAGTTGCAATGGCAAGGCAGCTTTAGCTAAATTATGTGCTTCTAGATTTGAATCTCTTCCTACATGCTCCACACATGCATCCTCAAAGAGCCTCATTCTATCTTTGATATCATTGATGATAATAGAACTAGGCCCCTTATACTATGACTGTAGGTGATTCAGCGTCGCCTTACAGTCCGTCAGAACTTGAATTTTCATAACATTTAGATCCTCTGCAACAGTGGAAGCTTCTCTTACTGCCAAACCTTCCAAGACTTCAGGTTCGTTCATTCCCTGAAAAACCAACGCCGACGCCCCAACGTAGTTCCCGTCATGATCTCGACAAACTGTTGATATTGATCCCCTTGTCTCATCCCTGAGTATCGCCGCATCAACATGGATTTTATGAAAGCTCTCAGCATCTTCTCCCCCTTTTTTTTTTTCCGATGGTCTCAGCATCTTCTCCTAACAGAATGTGGAGGAGATTGTTGGGCAGTAGTACTGACCTTCTTTCGTGGAATAAGTGACAGATCAGTCAGATAGCTTACTTTCTTGCAGATGGGACAAATATTATCCGTTTCAGCCATATTCCTGTGATTCCACACATCTTCTGTTGGAATGGAATTCCTTACTTGTTTCTTTGGTGTTTGAATGTGCACTTGTGTTTTCCAACCGATCCTCCCTAGTCCTGAAGAAAATGCCCAACTACTTTTTTTTTTACGAATAAGAAAATGCCCAACTTGGCTTAATTAACTCGCTGTCCTGATGCGCCACAATATCTTTGTATGGTGTCTTTCATGGTATGGACCGCCTCAACATTTGCTTTAAACATCAGCAGACAAGCAGCGGCGAAGAGTAGATGGTTCACCTTCACATTTTCATCCGAGCTTCGTGCCTTCAATGAGCAAGATAAACCTTCTGCTGCAATCAGGAATAAATAAGGTGATGTGGGATCACTTTGGCGGAATCCCCGTGTATTCGACATCTTTGAAATTTTTGAAACGAAACTTGAACTTGAAAAGAATAATGAAGAAACTAAAAAGAAACCAAAAAAAAAAAAAAACTGGTGCAGGAACCCAAAGGTTCCCAAAACCAGGTCTTGTGGGACGTGTAGGAACCTCAAGTGGGCCGGCCCACATACCTGGTCGCTCGTTGTGCTCACTGCGTTTAAATAGCAACAAAGGACTCTGCCTGCCACGCGGCACGACTCCGACTCCGACTCCAATTCAGTCTACCAAGTGTCCGTGCCTTCATAAGCGTAGCCAGCCGCACTGGTACGTGCCTCGATTCCTTGCTACCTGTCCCGATCTGCGTATTCTTTCTTCAGCTGGCCCTTTGCTCCGCATACACAGATTCGGCGGCATCCATGGCAGCGGTACTGCCGCCGTGGCCGCACCCGGCGGCGGCGACGGAGACCCACGCCCGTTTCTGCGGGAAAGACAGCATCTCAGTCGAGCACAAGCCGAGCGACCAGCCGTGCTCCGTGCGCCTCCGCAGCGACCTGATCCTGTCCCACGAGCTGCGCGGCGTCGGCGGCCGTTACTTCGGCGTGGCCACCGACCACAACATGCTCGCCGAGGCGCCGGCGACCGCCGAGTACGACCTCGCCGCCGACAACTGGATGGATTCCTCCACGGACCGCACGCCCCTCGACATAGCCATCGCCATCGTCGAGTACGTCCGCGAGGAGATCGACACGATGGTCGACATGGACTTGGTCGCCCCGAGCCTCCACTTCGACGTCCACATGCCCGAGCTCCGGGTAACCCTGGTCTACAGCGAGCCCAAGGCGCTGCTCCTCGCCTGCAAAGAGGCCGCCGCCGCCGCGAAGACCGAGGCTGTCGGTGCTCCGGTGACGGGCCGAAAGCGCCGCCGTGAGTCCGGCGAGCCGTGCGCCATCTGCATGGTGGACGAGGATGCCAGCTGGGACGAGGAGACCGTCGCGCTGCCGTGCTCCCATGCCTTCCACACTGGGTGCATCCTGACGTGGTTCCACCGGGCGCCGACGTGCCCGACCTGCCGGTGTGACATCATGGAGTGCTTCAGCTTCGTCAGATCGTCGGCGCCGCCGGAGCAGTTCACGGATGACGTGGCCGAGGATGAGCTCGATCGCGTCATAGGCTTCTTAGCCCATGGTGAGCAGCTCGTCGGCCCCGCGGACACAGATGAGCAGCAGCTCATAGATTCCGATCCCGAAGAGGAAGAGTTTATAGATATATAGCTGGATTGGATATGAGCAGAACGGTCCGCACATCATGTACTGAATCCACCATGTGATCGATACCGATTTTTTTCTTCTAAACATTTGTTTTACTAAATCAATTGTTTCTTATTAAACCTGGGAAATATCATGCATGTAGTATACTGTTACACAATCACATAGCAATTTCATACCAGCTTTACATACTATGATCATTTTGCCCTGGTATACATGGCAATTTTGGTATTATTCGCGTGGCAGTTTACTACACTAGTTCTTGGCAAATATTTAGCATCCAACATTGAAAATTGTTACTAAATTAGTACTTACGCATTTTTAAACAAAAATTGTGATGGCCAAAAAATATGGTTGTCAATTGCAATTCCGTTCTTTTTCACCTGGACTGCACGTGTGCTAGTGTGAGATTGCCAGGCATGGTGATTTCACTGGTTTTCTAGAGAGATCCAGCAACCGCATCATGTTCAAGAGACTCTTGTCAGAACAACAAATTCACACACACCCTAGACATCTAATACCAATTCCATGGCAATTAGGGCATCTCCAACACAGACCTTCAAACCCCAAGTGTTCGGACCGAGCTGTCCGGAGGCCGCAAGCCATTTAATGGTGTCCCACTTTTGTCCGTGGACCAGTCCGGGTATCCGTTTTCCCGCAAACCAAAAAGAAAACCAGGGGGCTTTGCAGGAGTACAGACACCCTCCACGTACGACCCTGACATCCATGGTCCACCCAAACCAGAGGCGGAGCTCGTGCGTTTGGAGTTGGCCGCACTGTTTCGGTACCACCTCCCCCCCCTTCTCAACCCTCTCCGGTACCATCCCACCGCTCTCGACCCTAATCCCCGCCCTTTTTCACCGTCGTCGCTGCATTGACTTGTATGAAAAGTTATCGGAGACTGCAGAGGTGGAGGATCCGGCAAATGCGGCTGCCTGAAAGATAAACTCGGCGGCACGACAAGCACACCGCCTCAAACATAAGGCAAAGGAGGCTCCACTCAAAAAGAAGGGTGGCAGCGGAAGGGGTGTAGGGGGCGGGCGGGGACGCGGGGCACCGCGTCATCATCGTCCATATACACACCTTCCTGGCCTAGAGGTTTAACATCTTGACGGTGGTGGCCGACAAGAAGCCCAAGCTCAAAGAGAAGAAAACCAGGCTTGAAGAGAGGTTGAGATCACGGCCTCTTCACAACATTCAAAGATGTCGAAGGATGTTGGCCTTGAAGATGGAGGAGTTGGATGACGATGCAAGGATGATTGCGCAAAAACCTTCATTTCAGTATGTCAAGCACTTGAATGAAGGAGGGGGGCAGGGGGTTGGAAGGAGGTGGGCGTGGATGCTCGGATAGCCAGTCAAGCATGGCAAAAAATCCACCGAACTGAGATACTTTTGTGATCGGGCATGTAAAAACAATGAACGTTGGTCTGTTTTTGGTTATGATCGGGCGCTATGCATTTGAAATTCAAATTGACTGGACCTAGACGGGTGTTTAGGGGATGCAGTTGGATAGTCAGCTCTTGCATCCCTGTCCACGGAACTGCACTGCACATTGCATTTTTTTTAGGAAAAAAAGGGGCTACAGTGTAAATGCAAGAGCATGGTGTATTTGGAATGTGGTAATTGCCACAAACTGATTCAGACGTTGGAATTGAAGAGAAGCTGTCTCATGGGCCCAGGAGAGACCTGATTCAGCCGTTTGGCCCAATACGACGAAACCCTCGCCTCCATTCCTCAATCATCCTTCGCTACTCCGCAAGACCAAAATCCTCGCCGTCACCCCTCCGCCCCACCGGCGGCCATGGACGACCCGCAGTTCATCATCGGCACCTCCAGAAGCCGTATGCTCGCCAGGATGGAGCGCGACGGCGAGGACCCCGAGATGCTGGACCTCGGCATAAAGCTCTTCCTCTATTTCGCCTACGACTACCTCCCGCATCAACTGCTCTTCCAGGATCAAGATTGGGCGTGCACCAAACCTGCGTGTGCTGGGATATCTTCAGCCAGGAGAGCAAGAGTTGGGGATTGGAAACACCGTCATCGTGTTATGCAGCTCGCTTGCAATTCTAATCTGATTTACATGTGTGGACCTGCTATGTCAATATGTGATCTGAATTAGAGTAATTCGATGTGAATATATATATGTGCATTTGCAGGCTGGGAACAAGGAGAGGATTATCCCTAAGTTGATTTGCATGCGTAGCTGTGCTGTGTCAATTAATAATAGTCCCAATCAATCATCCCAATTAGTTTATCTGAATTAGTTTCGATGTCAATATATGTGCATTTGCAAGCTGGGAACAAGGAGAGCATTATTCCTAATCTGATTTGCATGTGTAGCTGTGTTGTGTCAGTTATTTATACACCCAATCTATGATCTCAATTTGTTTATCTGTCCTTGGGTGCATTGCAGGCTGGAACAAAGGGGAGCATTGTCCCTAGTGTACAGATTTTGGCCATAGAGGTGCAGTTCGGTGTCCGCAATGCTGTCAAGAAAGTGCCTGGTTTCCTCAGATGCTTTCCTAACCTGGAGACGCTCCATGTTCAGGTAAAATTGGTTTTATGATTTTGCAATACTAGATACACTTGCTGCATTGGCAATTTGGTAACACTAGTTAGTGGCTGCCTATATATCTAGCATCTGCTCCTGAGGTCTATGATTGATGGCCTGCTGCTGCATGATATGTTAATATGTACTACTGAACTATCTATGTGCCGATTTCATCTGCTGTCCAGCGTTGATGAAGAGCCCACTGGCAAGGTGAACATCAAGTTCTGGCAGGAGGGCGGCCCCATTAAATGTGTTGTGCAGAGCATGAAGAAGGTGTTTTTCTACGAGTTCCGAGGGTCGAGAAGCGAGGTTGTTTTCCTCAAGTTCCTCGCGGAGAGAGGGCGGGTGCTGGAGCAGATGGTTGTTGTGGTAGCCAGCGAATGTTTCTCTTCGGGGTCGGGTTATGTGAATGCCAAACTGAAGCCTCTGATCAGTGCAAAATGGTCGAGTAAAGGTTGCAAACTGCAGCTCTTCAAGAGCCCAGCCGGTGAGGGGTCCGGTCCAGCTTACTCACACGAACTAGCTTCTGATTTTGGGTTTCCTGACCCTTTTGACCTCAAGTACTACTATAAAGCAGAAAGGATCCCTGTAAGTTAATTAGTAGCACCCTGTCTCTTCCCTCCTTGTGCTGCAAGACTACTGTTACTATTGAGACGTGAATTTCTGCATGACGATGTTGTTTGTGCCAAGTCAACTGTTATGTGGAGGTTATAAGTTCGAATTAGACAAAATGTTGTTCCTGATTTATGTTGTGTCCTGTCATTTTTGTGAGTAAAAGTGCAAAGGAGTGATGAAAGGCTAATATTAATATATGCAGGCATCTGAGTATTTGACTCTTTGAGATGTACTCCCTCCGTTCCTAAATATAAGTCTTTTTAGAGATTTCAATGCGGGCTACATATGGATGTATATAGACGTACTTTAGAGTGTAGATTCACTTATTTTGCTCCGTATGTAGTCCATAGTGGAATCTCTAGAAAGACTTATATTTAGGAACAGAAGGAGTAGATGCAAGCATCCTGTAGTGCCATCCAAAGAGGCACCAGCGAGAGCTTCTGCTGGTGCTACTGGGATGTAATCCGAAGAAATGCATCGATAGATTACTACCAGGAAGGGCGTACTGCTGCAATGCAAGCAATTTTGCCCCATTTGACCATGGTTAATTAATAGTTTAATACTGTTGTTGATTTGTCAAGTTTATATGGCTCAACTCTGAACACACACATCTACTAACAGGAAAGTCTTCTGACATAAAAGACACATTGGAGCAACAGAGCATCGGTTAGACATTCTGTAATGCTAGCAAATGTGCAGTTCTTTAGTTTGATTGGTTCTTCATCATCACTCACTCACTGTGCTAGGGATTTAAATGTCTACTGAACCTCAGCCATGCTCATTCTTCAGAGTGTAAGAAATCAAAATTTGAGTCCAAGATTTGTACCTCCAATTTTGTAGGGAAAATCAGCAAACTTGGAGAAATTACCTCCAGGTGGTCGCCGGAGTTGTCCTGCTCGCTCTTGTACGACTGGTTTCAGTCTATGGATTGAAACGGTTTCAGACCCCCAAACTACACCAAAATGCTTTAGAGGCCCAGCCCATTTAATCCATTTTAAAGACAGACTAATAAGAAAGCAATCTGAATACTATGATTTCAGCGAGAGAGGATTTCCTAGCGGAATCTGTTTCTAGCAGAACCGGTTCCTACCAGTGTCCTGCTAGCCAATTGAGGCACGCCATGTGTTTACGTCAATGTTTTTCGTA